ATGTTATGTCACACTGTGAAATGCCGTGCCATCATCTCTTATGGAGAAGAACGACAAGAACTAATAGGTGGAGGGTACGGGTGATTATAACATGGAAGCGGCCATCTAAGTATATCCTCGCATCATTCCTCATCATCCTCTCTATTTGCTTCTCGGATCACTGTACGTTCTCTTGGTATGTACGGAACTGTATCCCTGTGTACGGATTACCCATTATGGCCACACGTGTCGATACGGTTGTCGGAGAGAGGCAGAGAGAGACAGAGAGAGCGAGAGCGATAGAGAAAGCGAGAGAGAGAAGAAACAAACATATTCATGCAACTGCTACCATGCGAAATACATCAATGCGAACCACACGCCTGGTTTGTCCGAGCACGTCATAATACGTACGTCTCTGTTGCGTGCCCCAAAACCGAGCACCGTCCTGTAAATCACATTGCGCTGAATATATCGTTTGCTGCGTGGGTCTGGGAATCGGTAACATGAGAAGAACGGGAATTGATTAGATGTGCATTACTAGTGTGCGTCGAATGCGCTGCCTTTGAAGGAAGCGCTCTTCAGGCAGCGCTTCTGCTTCAAAGGGGAGACAGAGCAGCTCTCCTGTGCTCCAAAGATATGGCTTCCTGGGTTGGGGTCGGGCTGTTGCCGCCTTGTGGGGCTATCCTATGGTGTTTCCTTCTCCGCTGGACCTGGGCGTAGGCTTGGACACTCCCAACGCTTTCCCCTAGCAACGCTTGCACTTAACGGGTTCTTGCTTTCTTCAATCGCTGGCCGGGTCTGGCGGGAATTCGGCTTGTGTTTGAGCACGGGCCGAACGTCCCGGCATTTCTATAGGCCTACCACGACATGTTCTTAGAACCCCCGAATGTTCGAATCACAAAAACGAGGGTCTTAGAGCATAAACCCGATGTGTTAAAACAGGACAGTCCCAGCCAGAAATGTTCTAAGAGCAGTTCGCGCACACCGCAAGAGGTTCTTAGAACTTTCTTTGGTAGGCATACAGGCACGCCAGGACGCTTCGCCAGTGCTTGATGTGTGCGCCCCGTGGGCGCCCAAGGCGCTGGCCGGCCCTGCTGGGTTGTCGGCCGGTGGGTGCCTCGTGGGCGCCTCGTGCGTTGGCTGGGTCTGCCAAATGTTCGGCTGGTGGGCGCCCGTGAGCGCCTCGTGTGCCGGCTGGTGTCTGCCGGGTGTTCGGTCCGTGGGCGCTCGTGGGCGCCTTGTGCGCTGGTGCGCGGCTCAGGATGCACACATACTCTGCACCACATCGGCTTCAGAGCATGCCGTTCACCGCATAGCTTGTCACCATCTGTTGCACGACGTGTTTGCCAGAGTGAACCCAGACAGATTTTCCCCGCAACCAACAAAAACGTTGCCATCTGCCCTGACAGCGGGCGAGCGAGATCATTCACTTCGGCTCGTAGTAGATGTGGAGCTCGATGCCGTCGGGCCCCCAGGGCCGCAGCTTTGTGTGATCTGCGATCTTGCCCGAGATCGGCTTGCTCTCGTCCTCCTTCAAGTAGACGTTGAAGTCGCTGTCGAGGAGGAAATCCTGGTCGATCTCGAAGATCTTCCTGAATTTGGTGAGGCACGACTCCACCGTAGTGCTCTCGTCGATGATCACGCGGTAACGGCCGCCGATCGACGGGGCGGTCAGCATGATCTCGCTCCCGGCCTGCCTGGCCACGCGGTCACCCCGGGCAACCGGGCTCGGCTGGACGCCCGTACCGGCAAAAGCCGGCGAGAGGGTCGCGGCCAGCAGCCACGCGGCCGCCGCGGCGAGGACCAGAGCACCGAAGCTGGAGCGCGCCATCGCAGGCGTAGAGGGCACGAGAAGCCGACGGGGCGCCAAAAATTGTACCAAAATGACTATGGTGGGTCCTGGGCGCGGGCTCGGCAGGATGGTTAAAAGTGTTGGCATGTGCGCAAGCGTGTGGCCCGCAGGGTGCAATTTGAATGATTGTGACGAGACGCACTTGATTGATCAACGCCTGCCGATCGCATCGTCTTATTCGACGGGGGTGAAAGGAGATGCGATAACGCGTAGGCTGGCAAATTGTGGTCAGAAATGAACATTTCGGGGATGGACAGACCTCCCTCTAGTAAAACGTGGTTCAGTGAAAACGACCTCGGGCCCAAACCTGGCGGGCGCAAGCCTGGAAAATAACGGCCGCGGCGCCCTCTCGAGAACCGAGAACGGACAGTTCCCTAATCGACGTGTCACTGTTGGGGGTTCTGCCCACCCCCGAACATTAGCGATCGTGCATGGTATACATGGCAACACATGACATCCTTGCGGCAGGGGGCCCGAAGCAGCTTTCCACGGCTGCGACGGGGCCACGGTGGGGGGTCACGATCGGGGGGGCCACGATGTGGGGGATCGGGACAGGGAGAGTGGCATGAGAACAGGGATATAAAAGGGGGTAATGATTGGGATGGGGATACAGGATGCGGATATAACCGACGGCGATGGGGATGTAGTATTCGGCCTGACTTAAGGAACGATGAAGAAGGAACGGAGCCCCTTCTTTTTGTCCGAGTGAGTCTAGGGAGTCCGAAGGAACAGCCGCCGAAAAGGCAGCGGAGCGCACGCAGATCCACGGAACGACCGAGCCCCTTCTGAAAAGTACGCGTTCCTTACTCAAGCCAGACCCTGTAGAGGCAGAGACAGAAGGATAGGGGCGACAATGGGAGGCCACGGGAGGAGCTGGAGGAGGACGAGGAGGAGGATGAGGACGAGGAGGAGGAGGAAGAGGAAGAAGAGGAGGAGGAGGAGGAGGAGGAGCAGGAGAAAGAGGAGGAGGAGCAGGGAGGAGGAGGAGGAGGAGGAGGAGGAGGAGGGCCACGCGAAGCAAAAGGAGGCCACGTCGCCCGACCGACTCCGGATGCGGAAGCCCACCCATCAGTTCGACGGCAACGGGAGGCCACGGGAGGCTACGGGAAGCCACCGGAGGCAACGATAGACAACGAGATGCCACGTCGCTCGACCGATTCTGGATCCAGCAATGATCATACTAGCTTGTTCGGAAGATTATATGCATATGCACAACTATATATAGAGATATACAAGACTGCACTGGCGCTTCGCGCCATGCGGTCCTTGAAGGTTGGTCTGCAGGCGGAATGGCAAGAAAGTCCAACCGATAATTTAGCGATAACTCCTTGTTGCCTTTTCCGGCATCGCCGGTATAATAATGTTATTCGTTATCCTTCCTCCATGTTTCTTGTTCACCATTCTCGCCATACCCTGCGTATTCTCCCCACCCTTCTCAGCTCTTTTTGCGGAGGCTCTTCCATGAAGAGCCTCTCGGCCATCGTGGAACCTTGTTGTGCCGCCTTGGGGCTCTCTCGGACTGCCTGGAAGCCCTTTCCGATGGTTGCGGGGCGATTTTCGAGCCTCCCGCCGGCTTCGGAAGCCCAGAAGATCGCCGGCTGGGGGCCTCTTTTGGGCATCTTGGGGGCCTTAGGGGGCCTCTGGAAAGCTTCGGGGGGGCCTGCTGGCGGTCTCGGGGATCCTCTTGGGGTGGGGGGCTCCAAATTTGAGTTCGAGCACCTCCTCAGGGGTCCTCGTGGGACCCTCTTGGAGCCTCGTTCGTCATCTGGGGCGCCTCTTGGGTTGTCTTGTGTCTCTCTTGGGCTGTTTTGGGGCTTATTTGGGGCCTCGTGGGCCGTCTTGAGGCGATCTCGGGCCCCCCCTAAGCCACTCTTGCGGCCCTCTTGAGGGTCCTCGTGGGGCACTCTTGGACCTTCTGGGGGGCCTCTGAGCCGCCTTGACGCCATCCTGAGCCGTCTTGGAGGCTCTTGGGGCGCTCTTGGGTCGTCTTGGAGGCATCTGGGGCTGTCTGGAGGTCAGCGTGGGTGTTCTTGGAGCGCTCTCGGGGGTGAGAAAGCCCTCCAAACGATTGAGCCCCAGGCCCCTGGGGCCACATTCGGTACCCAGGGGGGGGCATTTGTCACTGTGCCAGGGGAAGTTGGGAGCCCAACACTCCGACATTCTATATTGACACAAAGATACAGCATCCTTACATACAAACCGTTTGGGGAAACGCGCGGATGCGAGGGATACGTTTGCATTGGTGTAGAGCTGAACTACTTGCATTTTACAAGTAGCAGGGATCGAGGTGGTACAATCCATTAAAATCAACAACATGCTGTTATGGGCTCCTGAACTGTGTTGGGTTCAGGGCCACGAAGGCGGGAACTTGATAAACGAAGACATTGGCACGCTGGAGGAAACTGGAACCGTGGGCCACAACGTTTTCCATCAGTCGTTCTCTCCAGCTGGATGTTGCAATGTCCTGGATTGCCATGTCCTATTTCTGGGAACCTGATGGACCACAACATTACTTTGTCTTGCAACTGCGGCTATTCGAAGGCTCTTTGGTGGGCTCTGGGATAGCCAAGCTACGACCACAAAGCCGACGATTGGGCAACGAGGACATGGACTTCAGGCATCCAGACAAGCGAACAATAAGAAGTCTGCACGTGCCTTCGATATCGACATCCTTGACATCCTGCTCCTCACAGGGTCGCACGATCCCTGAGTGGTACCCTTGCTCTGAGTGATGAGCATGGTGGTGTACAGATCCGTATCAGAGCTAGCGTAGCCTCGTCCCTATAGAGGGGGTGCAGGATGCAGCGACAGAAAATGCATGAACGTTTGATCGCAAATGCACCCGACAGTGACCGAAAAGGCAAGATGTGCCCAGGCGTAACCGAACATCTGCTGTGGAGGCCAACGCAATTTTCAAAGATGGTTGCATACTCGGTCACGCTACGACTTGTCGGTTGCAATTGTTGGTTTGCTTTCGGCCACATCTTGTTATTCGGCTGGGGGGCTGTTCGGCTCGTAAGGGGACGGCATGAAAAACGTGTCGCCAGATGGGGGCGATAAAGCGATGCTGGCGGTTGGTATGAACTTGTATGGTGTCATGACTACCGAAGACGATGGTCGACTGCTGTCCTCAGAAGGGAGGGCGGCGAGAAGAAGGGCCGCCGGGTTCCTCCTTGAGATAATCTGGGGCATCCTCGAGCTCGTCCAGGGTAAGCGTTCCACTGCCGTCCTCGTCCATCTCCTCGAACATTCTCTTCAGCTGCGGTATCATACTGCGGGGGGGCAGACTGCACAAATGTTTGCCACGCGCACATCGTCAACCGATAGCACAGATGATAGCCGCTTCCTGGAATAGACGCCCGGCGTCGGCGGCGTTCCCAGGGGCGAACGCGGAAGGATTCCAACCGAGTCCGACGCGTCCCCCCAGCACTGCGACCCAAGAATCCCCAATATTGCGGAGATCGAGCAGCATTGCTGCCAGTGCCCATGTGTAGGCAGGGAGCCTCTTGGAAAGGACCAGACATCCCCCAAAAGGGGCGTACCCTGGGTGAATCGTCGCATGGGCCACGGTTCTAGCTGCCGCATGCGCCAAGAGCCAGCCTCTGGGCCTCCCAAGGTAGGCCCCGAGACGCTCTCTTCAGCGTGCGGCAGGTCCTTGCGGTGATGACTGATGCTGCTTCCCGGCACCGCGTGGATCTTCAACTTTGAGCGCTCGCGACTGTCCGATCTCGCCGACCGTTCGAGATCGGCGGGCTCGGGGCCACTGGCGTCCGACCTGGACAGCCCGCGCGGGATTCGCCAGCGCGTCGACGAAGTTACGGTACATAAGAAAAGAAAGCGAATCGCCATAGCCAAAGGCAGCAGCGTGGAATGGGGATTCCCCGCTGCACTGTCCCAGCGGAGAACCGCGGGGAATGCCCGGAGGCCGCGAGCAGGACATCCACTTCCACGCCCAAGTCCTCCAGCACATTCTCCTCCTCCAACTCCTCCCCATTATCCGTGTCCTCATCCTTCCCATTTTGCTGATGGTGTGCTGCCACCGCCTCCTGCGCCCCCCGCCTTAACTGCGTCTTCCTCCTCATCGGCCTCCTCCTCCTCCTTCCATTGCGCCACTGGTCGTCCTCCACCAGTGGCACCTGCTCCTGCACCTTCTCAAGCACCCTCACCCCTGCATCCCCCTACCCATCGTCATCCTCCTCCTCCTCCCCCTCCTCCTCCTCCTGACCGGCCTGCCCGCCCTCCTCCTCCTCCTCCTCCTCCTACCTTTCCTCATCATCGTCCTACTCCTCCTCCTTCTCCTCCTCCTCGCCCCCCAGCTCCTGCACCACATCATCCTTCTCGTTCGCCTGCTCCCTCTCCTCCTCCTCCTCCTCCTCCTCCCTCCTCATCTTCTTCCTGCTCCTCCTTTTCGTCTTCATGGCCTCCCCCCCCCATCGTTCTCCTCTTGTGCCTCCTCCTCCTCCTCCTCCGCCATCTCCTGATCCTCCTGCTCCTCCTCGTCCTCCAGCTCCTCCTCCTCCCCCTCCCCTTCTCCTCTTCCTGCTCCTCCTCCCCCTCCTACTCTTGCTCAACGTCCCTTTCGTCCTCCCCGTCCCCCACGCGCAGCCCGAGAAAGCCGCAGGGCGGGCGCCTCGGGGTGGGGGCGCCGAGCACGCGCCGGCGACGGACAATTGCGGATGCGCGCGCCCGCGGCCGGGCTGAAACGTATCGCCTGGTTGCGTTTGCGGCTGCGCGGGCGGGTAAGCATGTGTCGCCTGGTTCCGGGAGTTTGCGCGGGCGGGTTGACATGTGTCGCCTGGTTGCGGTTGCGGTTGCGGTCGCGCGGGCGGGTTGAAATGTGGCGCCTCGTTGCGGGCGTTTGCGCGGGCGGGTTGAAATCTGTCGCCGGGTTGCGGTTGCGGTGGCGGTTGCGCGGGCGGGTTGACATGTGCCGCCTGGATGCGTTTGCGGTTGCGGTTGCGCGGGCGGGTTGAAATGTGTCGCCTGGTTGCGGTTGCGGTTGCGGTCGCGCGGGCGGGTTGAAATGTGTCGCCAGGTTGCGGTTGCGGTTGCGGTTGCGAGGCTGGGTTGACATGTGTCGCCTGGTTGCGGCCGCGGTTGCGCGCGCGGTCGGGTTGAAATGTGTCGCTTGGTTGCGGTTGCGAAAGGCGGTTGCGGACGCGGGTTGAAACTGCGCTGCCGGGTTGAAATGTGTCGCTTGGTTGCAGTTGGAATTACGCGCGCGAGGGGGTTGAAATGTGTCGCGTGCTTGCGGCTGCGGTTGCGACTGTGCGGGCGGGTTGAAATGTGTCGACTGGTTGCGGTTTGGTTGTGGTTTCGTGGACGGGTTGAGTCTCTCGCCTGGCTGCGGTTGCGATTGCGGTTGCGCGGTCCGGTTAGAATGAGTCGCCTGGTTGAGGCTGCGATTGCGGTTGCGCGGGTGGGTTGACATGTGTCGCCTGGTTGCTGTTGCGGTTGCGTGCGCGGGCGGGTTGAAATGTGTCGCCTGGTTGCGGTTGCGGTTGCGGTTGCGCGGCCGCGTCGAGATTGCGCGGCCGGGTTTAAATGTGTCGCTTGATTGCGGTTGCGGTTGCGGTCGCGCGGGCGGGTTGAAACGTGGCGCCTGGTTGCGGTTGCGGTTGTGCTGCCAGCTTGAAATGTGGTGCCTGGTTGCGGTTGCGGTTGCGTGCGCGGGCGGGTTGAAATGTGTCGCCTGGTGGCGGTTGCGGTTGCGGTTGCGCGGGCGGGTTAAAATGTGTCGCCTGGTTGCGGTTGCGGTTGCGGTTGCGCGGGCGGGTTGGAATGTGTCGCCCGGTTGCAGCTGCGGTTGCGATTGCTGTCGCATGGCTGCGGTTGCGGTTGGGGTTGCGCGGTCGGGTTAGAATGCGTTGCCTGGTTGAGGTTTCGGTTGCGCGCGCGGGCGGGTTGGAATGTGTCGCCTGGTTGCGGTTGCGGTTGCGGTTGCGCGGGCAGGTTGCAATGTGTCGCCTGGTTGCGATTGCGGTTGCGGTTGCGCGGGCGGGTTGAAGTGTGTCGCCTGGTTGCGATTGCGGTTGCGGTTGCGCGGGCGGGTTAAAATCTGTCGCCTGGTTGCGGTTGCGGTTGGGGTTGCGCGGCTCTTATAAAATGTGTCGCCTGGTTGCGGTTGCGGTTGGAGTTTCGCGGGCGGGTTGAGATGTGTCGCCTGGTTGCTGTTGTGATTGCAACCGCGGGCGGGTTGAAATGTGTCTCTGGTTTGCGGTTGCGGTTGCGGTTGCGCGGGCGGGTTGAAATGTGTCGCCTGGTGGTGGTTGCGGTTGCGGTGGTGCGGGCGGGTTGAAATGTGTCGCTTGTTTGCGGTTGCGGTTGCGGTCGCGCGGGCGGGTTGGAATGTGTCACCTGGTTGCGTTTGCAGTTGCGCGCGCGGGCGGGTTGAAACGTGGCGCCTGGTTGCGGTTGCGGTTGCGGTTGCGAGGGCGGGTTGAACTGGGTCGCCGGGTTGCGGTTGCGGTTGCGTTGGCGGTTGAAAAGTGCCCCTGGTTGCAGTTCCGGTTACGCGCGCGGGCGGGTTGAAATGTGTCGCTTGGTTGCGGTTGCGATTGCGGCTGCGCGGGCGGGTTGAAATGTCTCGCCTGTTTGCGGTTGCGATTGCGGCAGCGGTTGCGCGGGCGTGTTGAAATGTGTCGCACGGTTGCGGTTGCGGTTGGGGTTGCGCGGCTCTTATAAAATGTGTCGCCTGGTTGCGGTTGCGGTTGGAGTTTCGCGGGCGGGTTGAAATGCGTCGCCTGGTTGCTGTTGCGCGCTCCCGCGGGCGGTTTGAAATGTGTTGTCAGAAGCGCTCTCCTGACGTTCAGTGAGTGAGTCAGTCAATCAACCAATCAATCACTGGCGGGCAGGTAATTTCACCCGGCTCCGCTGGGAAACATAAACTTCCGGAGGTCCGCGCGGATGTCTTGGTTCGGCCTTGTGCAGCCGAGCGCGAGTGGTGTGCCTCCTGCAGCTTCTGCCGCTTCCACCCTTCACCTTTCGACGATGGGGGCGACGGCGACGAGGATGCCGAAGGCGACGGCCCAGAAACCCAACGCCCCGAAGGACGCCGTGGTAAGCCTTCCAGGAGGCCCCCTGACGCCCTCCTCCTCCCCTCCCCCATCCCCTCCCCCCCCATCCCCATTCTCATCCGTCTTCCCCTCCCGTCCCCTCCCTCCCCCCCACTCCTCATATTCCTCCCCCTCCTCTTCTTTGTCTTCTTCCTCCTTCTCCTCCTCTTCCTCCTCCCCCTCCTTCTTATCCTCCTCCCCCTCCTTCTAATCCTCCTCCTCCTCCTCCTTCCTCCTCCTCGTCCTCCTCGCTTCCTTCCTTCACTCCCCCTTGGACTCTGAAAAGCTTCCCACATGGCCATCCTCGCCCTCTGCGCTCGTCCACCGCCCCTCATCCCCCATCCCCTCCTCTTCCTACTCCTCCTCCTCCTCCTCCTCCTCCTCCTCCTTCTCCTCCTCTCCCTGTTCCTCCTCACCCTGGCCCTCCTCCACCTCCGCCTCCATCTCCACCTCGACCTCCTCCTCCTCCTCCTCCTCCTCCTTCTCCTTCTCCTCCTCCTCCTCCTCCTCCGACGACGACGACGACGACGACGGCGGCAACACGAAGACGACGAAACGACGACGACGACGACGACGACGACGACGACGACGACGACGACGACGACGACGACGACGGCACCGCTGGCGAGCGGAGGCGAGGCCGGCGTCCTCTGGACGCGTCGCTCCTGCTCCTTTTTCCGCATCTCGTTGTCCTGCCCACCGCGGGCATCCGGGGGGGCCCCGGCGGGCGCCCCCGCGGGCGCCGCCCCGCCTGTCCGAGCGGGGAGGAGGGGGAGTGGAGCCTGTCCTCTGCCGGCAGAGTAGAAAGAGCCGTGCACAGACACCGATTCTGGCCAGACCCATCCTGAGCCCAGGATCGGTGCATACGCCCTCCTGCCTTGGCCAGGAAGGCACATGCACCGATCCCGGGGCCAAGGATGGGCCAGGCCAGAACCGGTGCACGTGCATAGTTCTCTTCGCCTGGACTGGGGTCGAGCCCCACATATTTGGTCTACCTCTGCGCCACCACTTAAACAATCTTCTCACATTCTCCCTAATGAGCCCCCCCCCGCCCCCACTGGGTTAGGCCGTGGGGCGGGGGTAGGAAAGGTGGCCGCGTCTGCACGACACTTCGGCCGAGAGCGAGCGAGCGAGTGGGCGGGCATCCTTCTCCCTTTCTCCACGTCCTTGTGGCTGCTCATCGCTGCTATCACCGCTGCAACTTGCACGCTGCGCAGTTGCGCCGATGGTTGCCTTGGGGGACCAAGGTCGGGAAACGGGTCAGTAGGAGTGGAGAAGGAAGACCTACCCCATATCGCCCGAGAGCTTCCTGTGCGACATGGGCTGGGCAGGCTTTGGCACTTGACGCTGGCTTACCAAACAGACCTACGGCAAACACAAACCGAGCGAATCCCAATCACCTCTGGACGGCCAGGCGTGGAGAGGCTCCTGCTGCGCCTCCGCGTTTCCTCCCGCGCCCCCTCCTCTCCCTCGTGTTCCTCCGTGTCGCGTTTGCCAGGCTCCAGCATGGCTCGGGAAGGCCCCCCTGTGGTGGGACGTTGGGGCGTCCTCGCGGGGGGGGGCGCTGCGCGGCGGGAGGGCCGCAGGACCGGGGCCCCAGCGGGGCCCTCTAGAAAGGAGCCCCCTGGGCCCCGCGAGAATACACGAGAGGCGCCCGGGGACGCACCTGCCGGCGGCTCTGTGGCTCCCGAGCCCGGCGGAGGGCGGAGAAGTGGGAATCGGCCCCACGTGGCTCCAAAACTCCGGGTCGCCCAGAGAGGATTGGCTGACCCCCGCGTCGGGGCCGACCCCCGTGACGTGAGCCCCAACTTGCACCTTCCATCATCCACCTGCGAGCAACGCCCGGGGCGCTGGCCTTCAGGAGGAGCCAGAACGAGCGAACGAACGACCACAGCTGCGGAAACGCGCCTGGGCCTACGTAACTCAGACCAGGTGGGTGACTCTTGGGGTCCTGGCTGCGGGTCCTGGCTGGGAGTGGAAGTCCTGGCTGTCACTCTCGACGTCCTCCTCCCCTTCCCCCTCCTCCTCCTCCTCCTCCCTCCTCCTCCTCCTCGTCTTTTTTTTTCGTTTTGCCGTCCACGGCTATGTCTCAGGAATGATTCGAAACCTAGCAGAGCGAGACACCCCTGGCAGGATAAAACGGGGCTCAGTCCGAATCGCTCGAAAACCGAGTCCTGGAGGGCCCCGAGAAAAGAACGCGCGCAGCCTCATCCTCCTCCTCCCACCCCTCCGAAGCAGCGAGGGCCCCGCCTGGCGGGGCACGCTGCACGGGCCGGCCTCCAGCGGCAGGGGCCTGACCTGACCTCGCCCCTGAGGGAGGGACGAGGGCGGGAGGGGAAGGGGGGGGAGGCTCACGAGGGAGCGGGTATGAGGTGAGACGACCGAGCGACGCCGAGACAGGTAAAGAGCAGCCAGTCTCTACCACCACGTGTGGTTTATCTGGATGGCTGCCCTTCTGGATCTTTCTCCAGTTCTTGTGACCTGTGACCGTCGGCGGCTGACACACTTGGCCCAGCTTCTTGATCTGGGCCCCAGAACTATAACTCCTGCAGTGCAGGCAAGTGAACAAAAATGAGTTGTCGGAGCAGGCTAGAGCGATGACTTTATGCCCCAACCTGTCCAATACTGCAGAGTCGAGCCTGGAGTGGCCCCTGCACCCCCCTGAATCAGGCGGGCGCTTAGAGAGGGACCCTAGGAGGCAAACTCTGCACCTCCAAACTGAACTGATGAGTTCCCATGGGTGCTGCAGCCGATGCACGGCAGGGGCAGGAGGACGAGGAACACGCTCCACCCCAAGGAACTCCACACGAGGCCACAGGGGGAGGAGGGCAGCACCAAGGGACATCACCGTCTTAGACACCTTAATTTTCCAGTCGAGCTCCTGAGACAGGCTGGGGTCAAAGGCAGGGTGTCGGGCGACTGCACGCTTGGCTCCAGCATCTGCTAGCTCGTTGCCCTTCATCAAAAATCTCTCGTCCTCCGAGAGATCAGGGGCATCTGGATCGAGGTGGGCATCGACTTTGGCCAGGGAGCGCAGCTTCCCTTGCCCCAAAGACAGGCCTTGCAACATGAGTCCTGAATAAACCCTCTTGGGAGATTTGCACACGTCGAGGCCTAGGGAGTACTGTTTAACGACATTAGCGCAGTCACTGTAGGCGTCAGCCTGGCCCCCTACACACACGCCAATGCCACAAAAGGCAGAATACTCAGCAGCCTGGGGCGACTGCGCGTAGGGGGGCCAAACTGGGGCAGAAACTTCACAGACTAAGTTGGCCTCGGGGTCCACCATGGCAACACACCAAGCGCTCCTGCAGAGTTCGGACACAGGGTGGCGGATGCAAGAGCCATCTATAAACAAGGACCCCCAGACCCCTAAGTCAGGAGAGGTAGGCGTGGGACCCAGGGACCCAGGGATAGTGACCTCAGGGACCATCCAGTTGACCAAGACTTCTCCATTGCTCTCGGGCCGAGGGAAGTAGTCACCAGGGTGCCGAAAGGCTCCATCTATCCAGAGAGTGGTCTCGTAACCCTCAGAAGCAGTGTCGAGGGCACTGGCAATAATCTCAGCATCAGCAATTTCTTCACGCACAGAAGAGCACGAAGGGCACTCCCAAAGACGGTGCCACAATGTGTCAACCTCGGAGTGGCACAGCTGGCAGATGTCGCTAATCTGGTAGCCCGCTAGCATCGCAGAACTGGCGGTCCAAATGGCGTTACAGGCCAATGCGCGCATTGTCGACCTATCCTTAGGGCTGGTGCGTTTGGACCTGATACAGGATTTGACAATGTCCCAGCAGAGCCTGTGCTCGACCCCCAGCTTCTCCCCCGAAGACCGTTCGAGCCCCCTCAGAACGGCAGCCCGACACAAAGCCCCCACAAGGCGGGGGGACAGCAGCAGGAGCTGGAGGGTCTCACCCAGGTCAGAGATGATGGTGCAGAAGTCTGTCATCTGCCACCCTAAACGGTATAAAGACATCCTGAGGGCCGAGACAGGACCCCTCACCTTGGCCCAGGACCAGTCACCCTTGCCGAAGGTGACTTCCCAGGCCGAACGCATCGAAGCAAACGACAGGGCCCCATCAAAAGCCTTAGTCTGCACAAGCCACAGCTCTTTGCACCAACGAATGATAGGGGCCACACTCGCTCTCCAAGGGGGGTCCCCTTCAAGGAGCGAGAGGGTGGTGAGGGAACGGTGCTGGGACTTGGGAGAGATAGTGGCCATGCCCTTACTCCTGAGCGAGTGGAGCTCGCGGTCCGAAACTCCCCAAATTTCAGACCCAAAGGTGACGCCCGCCAGCGGGCCCGACGCAAAAATCCTGACAGCGGACCTGCCCAGGTTGCTTTTGTGCTTGTCGAGGCGCCTGCATTGACGAAAAAACTTGGCCTGACGAGCCTTGAGTTTGGCTGATTTACCCTTTTTTGAGCCTGGGGTCGTGGTGCGTAATGAGCGGCCTGCCGTGTAGTCAGTACCCAAATTGACCACCGAGGCCGAGGGCTTGCCGCACAACTCTCCCAGTCGCTCCTCGAGCTGAATAGCTATTGACTTGTGGCTGCATACACATCCCACTTTGTCGAGCGCCAGCACACAACCGAGCTCTTGGGTGACAGCCTTGTGTAAGCTGACAGAGGAAGAAACTAGTGCCTCAACGACTTCGGGGACCGTGCCCGTGTGCGAGAGGCACGTGTCATCAATGTAGGCGTCGAAATCAGTGCCACTAGCCAGAACATTGCACAGCTTATCGAAGGCCTTAAGAGCGAAAACTCGGATGAACGAAGTGGCCATCGAGCACCCAGCTACGACCCCACAACTGACCCAGTACGGCCCCTCGATGATGCCCCCAAGGCTGAGAAACCTGCACGAGCGATAGGCCGCCATGGCGACCCTGGTGATAACTACGGGAAAGTCGAGGCATTGGCACTGATTCTCGAGGAAATCGAGGGAGATGCTCTCGTAGTACTTCTGAAGGTCATAAAAGACTGACCCTGAAGTGAGGCCCTTGGAAACTCCCGCTTCGGCTTTGAAGCTCTGCCTCCAGACAACATCCGTGGCGCCCCGATTGGCTCCAGCAGCCCAATAGGGCCTCGCGAACTTCTTTTCCCAATCGAGAGCGAAAGGCCTCCTGGCTCGGCCCCAAAGCCGATGCCACGAAACAAAAACCCCGATGGGCCTGAAGCCCCCGACAGGTTTGGGCAAGAGGGCCAAGAGCACAACCATTAACTGATTAGGAAGCCTCCCCGTGGCTTCGATGACGTACAGGAGCCCCGAGAGGGCAATGAGGGCGGCGTCACACAAAACCGAATAGTGACGCAGGTGGAAACCGTCAACCGAAACCGCACTCTGTTTACGGTAGGTCTTGCAGACCTGGCGGATCTCCTCAGGGGAGAGGCGGGGCAGGGGGGTGACCAAGCGAACAGGGCCCACAGGAGGCCCGCTCCCCTCCCCCCACCACGCCTGAAAGCGCTTCCCTTCGGCAGACAAAGGGCCCTGGGGTCCGCCACAATTTGGCCGTTCGCCGCAATGGTGACCGAGGGAACCCAAGGAGTGGGGTCTCTAAGAACGCGATGGGCCCGCCTGCCCCCTTTGTCCAAACCTTCTTGGAGCCATTCTCGCCAGCGGCGCTTGTTAGCCTTAGCAAAGTCCTTAGCGGCCTCCTCTAGGCACGGCGCGAGAGATGCGAGCAGCTGATCAACATCAGCCACGCAATCCGAGAAAGCAGGCGGGGACCGCGCGTCCTGATCCGCCTTGTCCTGACACTGATTATCGAGCGCGACGGGCAAAACGGGGGGAGGAGGATGCGCTCCAGGCGGAGCAGAGCAAACAGACGAGTGCTTGCGACCAGCCAGTCGATCAGCACAGGAGGCAGCTAAGCTGGTGGCACGTTGAAATAGTCCAGCATGACAGGCGCGAGCCGTGCCAGCGCACGGCGGCGAGAGCACAAGGCCTTGATGCACCGCAGTGGAACGTTGTGTGCTAATACCTCAGATCTCAAGGCCTTGAGCTGGGTCTCCAACCACTTCAGACCGCGGGAAACGGGGTCCTTGGAAGGAGGCACGCCTGGCAGATGGGCTTCCAAAACGTCTCAATAGTTTTTCCGCGGGACCCATAGACAGGGAGGTCGGCCCCCAGGACCCGCGCGAGATCAAGTTCAGCTCTATTCGCCCAGAGACCGTACCCTTCAGAGAGCAGGGCAGCAGCCCCGTCACCGTCCCCAAGGGACACTCTGTCCACAGCAGTATTGACCAGGTCAAGCACCAGATCCCAATCAGTGCTGCACTCCTGCGGCCTGGGGCCGAACGGGGGGTCCACAGGCAAGGGCGGCGGCTTGCGAAAGGCGAGAGCCTTCAATTGAAGCAGACGGGGGTGAAAAGTGAGCGACACGGGGCGGTGGGGGTTGAGCGTCGTGTCCAGTCGGACTTTGGCCTCGCTGAGGCCCTTGGCCAGGGGGGACGAGACCACGAAGTAGTCAAACTTGGACGGGTCACCCAGGGAAGGATAGTGGGTATGTCGGGGGTGGTGATCAGGAGACCCCCCACAGCTTTAGCAAATCCCATGCCTTCTAACAAGTCTGGCCCGAAGTTAAAGTCCCCACCTATGATGTAATCCTCCGACTGACTGCTCACGAACTCCCCCAGGTCGCTGAGGATGCCCCCGTTGGAGGCGTCGGGCCCCGCGGAGTGGTGAAGATAAAGAGAGACCAGCAGTAACGCTGGGCTGTCAGGGGCGTGACACTTGCAGGCTAGACAGCGGCCCCGAGCAATGTCTGGGGAAGGCACAGAGTGGAGCCCAAGCCAAGACCTGGCAAAAATGGCCACACCAGCACTGTCTCCACCTTGTGGGCCTGGAACTGCAGCAAGCCAGATGGACTTCCAGCCCGCGCGAATCGCAGAGGCGGAGGCACGGTCTATCGACTCAGGGTCCCTGAGGCGGTGTTCTTGGCAAAGGATGATGTGAGCCGAACAGTCGGGATCCTCCAAGAAATCTTTCATCGTGCCCCACTTGTTGCAATTAACAGACCAAACCTCCAAGGCCACACTGGCGACGCCCCTTTGGTCCTCACCTGGGTCCTGGGCCCTGGCCAGGTTGGGGGGAGAGAGGCAGCTGGAACTGCCGACTGGCCAGAGTGAAATGGGCTGAGCTACGAACGGACTGGCAGACATAAATGAGCAAAACTCCCTTTTCAGCCTCCTGCTGGTGGCAGGCGTGCAAAAGCTCCTGGGAACATCGCTAGGAACACTCATCCAAGCGTGAATCTCCAAGAGAAAGCTGTCGAGCTCAGCGAAACTGCGATTCAAGAACGGCAGAAATTCACGCACATCTGTGGAACTATTTTCCCCCTCCCTTCCCAGGGAGGGGGAGAGGATTGGAAAGCTCGTCTGCAACCAGGGTGCGAATGTCAGGCGCAGGAGGCTCAGGCCGTGAACCCGAAGAGGACGCGCGCGACGGCCCTGCCCCTGTGGACTGACCAGACCCTTCACCTGCAGCAGCTGCTTCGCCTCCCAGCGTCGCGGCGTCTGAGACCTTGCCAGCACCAGTCTTGCGCTTCTTGCCAAGCCTTTCGAGGTGCTTGGTGCGCTGCTCCTTGGCCTCCTTGATTTTCGACAACGCGTCTTGGAACAATGACTTGGCAGCCTCGCGCGCTTTCTCGGACAGCTCATCCTTGCGCTGCTGGGTCTCCTTACGGTCTTGCTCCTCAAGGTCGTAGGCATCATCAGCAACTTCGAGCACGTCAGTCGAGATGATCTGGTCGATGGAGACGGTGCCGCCCACCAGCTGCTCGAGCGTGACCTGGGCCACCGCTGCGGGTGCAGGCTCAGAAGGCACCTGCAGCTGCAGCTCCAAAACGACTTTCTTGTATGCGGCGTCGGCCTCGCCCAACTCAGAATGAAGCTCAGCCACTTTCTTGCGCTGCTCCTCCAGCTCAGCCCTCCAGCGATTGAGCTTCGCGAGCTCGACCTGGAGTGCCCGCTCCTTGCGGCGGACCGCAGCATGGGCGGACTGAACCTGCTGCTGCAGAGGAGGCGCAGGGGCGCGCTCCGACTTGTCGAGAGAGACGGCGATGGCACGGTACTTGGCTGCCAGCTGCTCTTCTCCAGCTTTCGAGTGAAGATCGGCGAGCTGCTTGGCTTCGTCGGCGGACAAGCGGGGCACGGGGCCAGGCGGCAGAGCTCCGTGTGGAACATCGAGAAGAGCCGCCGCACGAACACCTTTGCCTGCAGATGCAAGCTCAGCGCCCTTGCCCTTGCCCTTCTTGCCGTGGCCCTTGCGCCCTCCCTTGCCCTTGCCGTCCAAGCGCACAAGTGCTTCAACCTCCTCTTCAGCAGACCCGAAACCTCGCGCCCATGCACCAGAGGCAGGCTGGACAGGGGCGCCTTGAACCTTCGGCAGGTCGGAATGACAATGCTTGCACCACTTGAAGTGCGGCAGGTTGCCCCCCCCTCCTCCTTCACCTCCGCCTCGTCCTCGTCGGCTTCTTCCTCGTGCTCCTCTCCCCACCTAAACCCTGCTGCGCTGCACAGATCCTGGCGGGGTGGCCGTTGCGTCCAGACGCTCGTGCCGAGAAGCGGGCGCACATGCGTCATCACAAAATGCATATACGAGCAGTGCGTGCGCAAGAGGAGCAGGAAGCGCAACGACTGGTGGGAAAGCAGAGAATCCCGCAAGGGCGGAGGGAAACGCGAAACGACAAGGACTCCCAGCGCCCCCACCTCCTCAACGTCAGGATCCCCCCTCCACTCTCTGCCTTCACCGCGGGTCTGTGCAGCCAGCCCTGCCTCCACCTCCTCGGTCTCATCCTCATCTCGATCATCTTCGCATTGCGCGTCTGACTATTACTCTATCCTTTCTCGCAACTCATCCACGTCTCTGCGGCAACCGCACCCGCCCTGCCGTCACGATGAAGACCACCGGGACTCGGCGCGCGTACACCAACTGCTCACGTGCAGAGAGAACCTCCTCCCTCGTTCCCTCCTGTGGCCCCCATTCATCCTCCCCTCCCTCATCCGTCCATCCTCCCTCCCTCCCTCGCTCCCCTTCTCCCGTGTCCTCGTCCTCCTCGTCGTCCTCCTCCTGATCCTGATCCTCGTCCTCCTCATCTCCTCATCCTCCTGAGACCCCTCTCCGCCCTCTCGTCGCAAACCGAGGCAGACCGAAACGACGATCGCCCTCGCAGCTCAAGAGGCAGAGGCGGCTCGCATTCTCCTACAGGGGGATGTTGGACGAAAAATTAAACATACCCCAACAATACCCCCAACTGGTCAACAAATACTTTAAAAAATCGCCCCCTGACTATTTTTGACTCTTTTTGATTATTCCCCCTGTGGAGGGACAAGCCCGACTGACGGCTCGCATCCTCCTTCGCGTGCGCCAGGAAGGCCTCCACGATGATGGCCGTGACCTCAGGTCCCGCCCCACGGCGCCCCATGTCCTGATCGTCGTCCTCTCCTCCTCCTCCTCCTCCTCCTCCTCCTCCTCCTCCTCCTCCTCCTCCTCCCCTCCTCCTTCTCCTCCCCCTCCTCATACACATCGGTGTCTTGCTCCTCCTCCTCCTCCTCCTCCTCCTCCTCCTCCTCCTCCTCGTACACATCGACGTCTTGCTCCTCCTCTTCCTCCTTCTTCTCTACTTCACGTGCGCGCGATCACGTTGGGGCCAGCGGCCCAGAGGAAGCGGCAACGGGCGTGGGGGCAAGGAGCAATGGAGGAAAGGTGGCAAAAGGGAAGGGAGGGTGAGAGGTCGGGTGGAAGGGGATGGCGCTGGATGGGGCGAGACGGAGGGGGATGAGAAGGAACGAGACAGAGGAGGAGGGGAGGGGCGTCACTCATCTATTGTTGTGTTGGTCATCGTCGTCCTACCGTCTCGTCATCATCGTCATCGTCATTATTGTCGTCACAATAAAATCATCACCACCATCACCATCACCGTCACCGTCACCGTCACCGTCACCATCACCATCACCATCACCATCTTAATCATCACCATCTTAATCATCACCATCTTAATCATCATCATCATCATCATCATCATCATCATCATCGTCGTCGTCGTCGTCGTCATCATCATCATCATCATCATCATCATCAGCATCGTCATCATCATCATCATCATCATCATCATCATCATCATCATCATCATCATAATCGTCCTCGTGATCGTCGTCGTCATCAGCGTTTTTCTCCTCTTTGTCGGCCTCGCCCCGTCGTGCCGTCGTCTCAATCCTTCCTGGCCAAGGGTACATTCCACTTTCAAGCTGTAGTAACCAGCCTCGAACTTATCCCTATCCCCAAGATGGGCGAGCAAAAAGCGAGGACCATCTCAGGGATAGGCCCTCGGAGACCGAGGGAATCCTGAAGATCGGCATCGAGGTGAGGTGATGTAAAACATAGGGATAGGGATACAAGGCAGTGTTTAATGCATAGGAGCTTGAAACATATAAGATGTGCAATACATGATTAATGAATGTATGCATGAACTCATCGTTGTTTCTAATACCAGATCCATGCATTGCGAATGCACGATCCGCGCGCGGGGCCTGCATAAAAAAAGACGGCACGGTATGCTTCAAACTGGTCATGTGGGGCAAAAGCATCTTCAACCTGGTATAATGTAGGGCAAAAAGGGAGGACAACCTTAGGGATGAGCCCTCGGAAACCGAGGGAATCCTGAAGATCGGCATCGAGGTGAGGTGAGGTCAGACATAGGGACAGGGACATGTTTCAAACTGGTCATGCGGGGCAAAACGAAGGGGCCCTGGGACACACACACAAATACACACAAATAAAACGACTCCCCATCTGTTTCCACATGTTCTGGGTTTTTGTCTTCCCCCCCCACTTCCCATATTTTCCCATATTTTCTGGGGGATCGACGATGAATTGTGTCTGTGTGTTTTTCCACCTCCTGACAAAAGCAATTCCAACCCGACTCAGACCGGCGAAGCCTCCTCCTGCACGCCGCCGGCGCAGCAGAGCAGAAAGGCTGCGACGCGCAGGCGCGCGCTGCAGGAGGAGGAGGAGGAGGAGGAGGAGGAGGAGGAGGAGGAGGACAGGCGAAGTGCGAGGAGGAGGAGGTTCAGGAGAAGGAGGAGGAGGAGGAAGGAAAAGGCTGCCTCTGCCGATCCGCCCCTCTGCACGTCTGCCTGCCCGTGGGCCTCGGGAGCGGTCTCTCGGCCTGCATATCGGGGAGACGTAAGGCTCGGGCACGGGGGAGGAGGGGGAGGAGGAGGGGAGGAGCAGGAGGAGGAGGACGAGGAGAAGGAGGAGAAGGAGGAGAAGGATGAGAAGGAGGAGGGAAAGAGGGATGGGCCAGGAGGAAGAGAAGGATGAGGAGGAGGAGGAGGTGGAGGAGGAGGAGGAGGAAAAGGAGGAGAGGGAGGAGGAGGACCCGGGCTGGCCTGACGGGGACCATCACAAAAATGACGAGACCCGATCTGAAATTTGACGCGGGCTCCCGCTGCAGACATCCCACAAAAAAAACGGGACCGTCAAAGTCCAGGACGCGCCCGTCAACAAAAAAGCATCGGCACACCCGCGTTCCGGCTTTCTCGAGTCTTACGTTTGCCCGACTGTATGGTTTCGCTGCCCCCTCGAACCGAGCCTGGAAAAACGCGCGACGGGGGCCCGGACAACCCGGCAGCGCTGCCGGGGCCCTGGAGACCGCGAGTGCGGGAGCGGAGGCTGCTGTGAGAACTGCTAGGGCCGTGGAGAGCCTGCGAGAGAAGAGGAGCCCCCCCCCTGTTTCTTCCATGGGGGCGAGGCGAGCTTGGCGTGTGGGCGAGGCGAGACTGCGCGACTTCCCCCATGGTCCTCACGGTCCTCACACTTTTTGACAGCAGCCTCCACTCCGGTCTCCACGACCTCCACGGCCCAGGCGGCGTTCTCGGACCCTCCGAGTCCTCCGTCCCTCCCCGCGCCCTGCCCCAGGGAAGATACCGGTGGAGAAAGCCCGAGGAAATCGCCATGGCTGGAAAACTGGCAAACAAAGCACATCCTTCCGTGTTCGACCGGGTGCGTGGCCCCCCCCTCTTCGCCCCCGATTCGAAGTCGGGTTCGGCCTCGCGCAGGCCCCGGGGGGTCCACTCTTTTGTCCTCCTGCGCCTGTGCTGCCGAACGGCTCCACAACGGATATGCCAGCGCCGATGCCGAATTCAACCTCCCCGGATTTGCATCCGAACTGATGGGCCGTCTGGGCTGTCTCGGGGCGTGCTGGGGGCCGCGTGGGGCTTCGTGGGTGGACTCCTGGGCTGCGCCGAAGAGGGGGGGGCCAGGCAGAGGGGAGTTGGTTGGAGCATCATGCTCCGAAACATGTGCACGGACGAGAGGGGGGGGGGCCAGAGGATGAAGTGAACGAAGAAGACACGGCCATGGAATCCGGGAGACTTCATGGCCTGTTCGTGTCGGCATGGTCGTGCCGTGACGGCCCCAACGTCGGTGTCTGACACCGCGCGGATCGTTCAACCTTGAACGATCGGCGGCTTGCTCGCCATCGCTCGGACGTCCATTCCCTGCGTTTTTGTTCGGTTTCGTGCGTGTTTTTTCGCCCCATGATTAAGGATGCTCCTCGATGGTCCTCGCCGAAGGAAAAATGCACACGTCCGAGCGATGCCAAGCTTGCCGATCTCCCAGATCACTCCATACTGGCCAATTCTGGGACGCCAGCGGCGTTCCGCCTCGGACGCCCGCGCTGGGATCGCCGCCGCGCCGGCACGACGCGAACCTACCGTACTGAGCATCGCTTATCCGACCCCTTTGCCCCAACGGCGTGACTCGGGCCCCACGCCCCGGTGTACCCCATTGGGTGGGGAGATGGGCTGCTCCCTCCGGGTTTCGGGTTTCGAAGAGCTAGGGCTCCCAACTTCGCGCTTCGCGCTGCGCGAAGCGCGAAGCGCGAATAACTTCGCGCCCTCGCGCCGCCCTACCAAAGGGAGAATAGGAGGACGAGGAGCAGGGGGAGAAGGAACGAGGACCGCGAAGCGCGAAGCGCGAATAACTTCGCGCCCTCGAGGGAGCCCTTGGGGACAGGGATGGGGATAAGGATCGGTCAAACAATGCTGACGTACCAAGCCTCACCCGCTCCTGGCAGCCCCCGCCCTTCAGGGCCTCCTTGGGCTCTCACTGGGGCGCGGAGGGGTCGACTGGACCGACCCGAGCGGCCCCTCCACGATACACCTCCCTGGAGTTCGAGCTCGGGGGCGAATCTCACCAGCCCTCTGGGCATAGGTGGTTTAACAAATGTTGCTTTCTCTCTGCCAATATCCCTCAGGGGGAAGGGTCTATCACTGCTCCCTATTAAGAGACACCCACTCACCCACCCGACTGTGGGCCAACCCGGGGCATTCCCCCTCCAACCCCCCATCCCGGTCAGAAAAAAATGCACTCTGCCTCCAAATCTCGAGCATGCGCAGACGCCCCGCGCCAAGGACGGCGGGGGTGCCAGCATGCTGTTTGTTGCGCACAAGCTGCCGGCAAGCCGACCTCCCTGACAAAAAACAATACAACATCCATTTTGCCTCAAAATCGCGGCCACTCGGCGGGCGCTCCGTGACCACTTTGCATTGGTTTTTGATAGGAGTAGCGGGTGTGCTGGCATATTGCTTGATGCGCGCATGCCAACTATCCCAGTCAAACGACACTGCAGAATCCACAGAGTGGCGGCTGTGCAATGGCGCACCGCGCACGCACTGCGCGCGCCTCGCACGTGGCGCACATGGCGCAGCTGGAGCACGTGGCGTACTTGGCGCTCGTGGAGCACGTGCCGCATTTGCCGCGCCTCGCACGCTTGGGCCTCCAGGGTGCCTGGTGCGCCTGAACCCGCGGCGCAAATGGCACGAGTGGCGCTCCTCGGTGATGTGCTGAGACTCGGGAACTACTTATGTGTTGGGATGGCGGGTGGGAGTGAGCGAGACGGCTTGCGGTCCTGGGGGGCCTCGATCACTGCTCCTTATCAATATACACCCCCTCCCCCAGGCGACCAGGGGCCAACCCGACCCCATGCCGACACCGTGCCGACACGCCCCCCACCATCTCTGTCAGAAAACAATACAAACCGCACTCTGCCTCCACATTAGGAGAATGCGCGGCCAACCCGATGCGGCCCCCACACCACCATCAGTGTGAAAAAACAATGCAAAGTACACTTTGGGGCAAAGTCTTGAGTTATGTTTTTGAGGCCCGCGAGCACTTCGTTTTTGTTTTTGACAGGGGCTGTGGGGGTGTCAGCATATCCCCTGCTGCGCGCACGGCTACCATCCCTGACAACAAAAACAACGCAACACGCACCTCGCGGCTACATCTGAATCATGCGCGGCCAAAACGCGATCTCTGTCAAATGGTTTTTGAAAGGGACGGCGGAGGTGGTGGCGCGTGGTCTGCTGTGCCCAGGCCCACCAGACACAATGATGG